CATTCATCACCCAATAAAATAAACCATATTCGCACAGGTGGAGCAGAACATGCCGGACAGCTGCTCCTCAGTACTGGCTTGCACACATGGTCTGATCACAGAAACCCTTGTGACTACACCTGCTCACTCATAGATTTACCCACACTGTTAATAAGGCACCCAATAAGACACCTCTCTGATCTTGAACTGGACAGCACTGAGCTATTCTTGGTTGTGGTGATGGAAACGAGTCCTCTCACGTCAGCCGTGGTTGGTGTGCTGTGGGCTAGGGTGTGATCGGTGTCAGGAGGGGGCGTCTGAGCAGTGTGAAAACGAAACTATCAGGTGTGACATGCTGACAGTTGACAAAGACCAAGCACTGGTGAATACACACGAAATAGAAATTGCCTATTTTGACTGATGAGTCACAAGACAGAACAGTAGGAGTCTGTCATACCCACTACAGCAGACATTACAGAGATGCTTACTTCCACTGTCCCGAACAAAACAGAAATGAGATCTTGTCAGTTTTGGGTGTGGCTGGCAGGATATCATATCTCCCACCAACTCACACCCTGTTTCCTGTAATCAAAACCAGGAAGACGCAGAAGAGGAAGGTGATCAGGAGCACAACATTTACACTAGTCAAGCTCAAAGTGTCACTGACAGTGGAGAAATGAGGCTAATTGCAATTTACTCATAATCCCCATGGCCAGGACTTCGCATAGACAGTTCGAAATCGGCCAACCTTGCTCAGCTTCAGGCTGCCTTCACCAAAATATTTCAGTTTAAAGTTGTTGTGTTAAATGCATCACAGCAAACTGCATTTGGAACAACTGAAACAGCACAATTCACATTATCAACTAGATGTGGTACAAATGTCAGGAGGATAGGATAGATGAATCAGAGCACTGATGCTACGGATCAGCTAACGTGTAAATGGATAATATATTATGGTAATTATATAGTGCCTCTTAAAGTGCTTTCCACTACACTTCACCTACACACAGTCACACACTGATGGCAGAGGCTGCCATGCAAGGAGCTGCTCATCAGAGTGGAACTAACATAAATACACTAATGGAATCTTCATTTACCCGAGTGTATCATCAAAAACACACAGTCACATTTTGAATGTGGAAAAATGAATTAAAACCTGCACACAAGATTTTAAAGACTATTGTAGAAAACAAATTAGTATTGATAATCAACCAAACCACCACTGCCTTCAGCCTCTGCATTTACAAAACCGATGTCATGATACAGCCGTATGTTGTGGAACCATCTATTCATGCACTTACATAGGTAATTGTTTCTTACTGCTTGTGTGCTACCCCATTTGTTGTTCCAATATGTTGCTCAAGGTTGACAATATATTAGAAGTCCCCTTTAGAAATAATTCAAACACAGCAAGCCTCCAAGGCCACAGAGTTTAACCAACACAACTAAGACAACTACAATTTACTCAAGGGTGATTATAATGAACAATATCAGTATAAATTATATTCATTACATAGACTAGATTTGAAGCATAATATTGAAAATGTCGACAAGAATATTTTAACAGATGAAGGGGTCTGTAAAACTTTGTATATTTTAATTTGGCTACTTTACAAATCACTGTCATTTACACCAGCTCAACAAGCTAAAGTGCAGAGCTGTCACCATCAGCATTAGGTGTCAGATATGAACACACTGTCATACATGGTTTACCAGCAGCTTGTCATTATTACAGTAACGGGTCAACAACAATAAATATAACACCACTTACAGATTACAGTCACAAATTTCAGAGGACAAAAACTCAAAAGGCTATTGTTCAGGTGTCTGTGTATTAAAAGGCTCTGAATTCTATTCAAAGCAGGGTATGCAGATGTTAACAGTCACATACAAGCTTCTTTCACCAACCATCAATTATCAGATACTGACTTCTGTTCAAAGACCAAAAGCATAAAAAAAATTCGGGAAGAACTTCAAAACATTTCTAAGCTTGCAATATAAGCTATATTTAGAGAGAAGGGTGGCCGAAGGTCGAAATATACTACCAAGAAACGACACAGAAAAGTCAGGTATAATTCCATTATGCCATGCTGTACAATCTAACATGTTGTCTTAGATGGAATTTTTATTAATGGATGAAATAAAAAATTTAAAAAAATTTAAATTTCAGAACAGAGCTGGTGTTTAATGGAGAGCAGGATACAGTTTGTCAGAAGTGACATCATTCAGCTGCATTATTCTCTACAGTATTATTTAATGTTAGCTGGTAGTGTTAGATTAGATCTGTTGTCTTTTAGGATGGGAGAAATGTCTTAACACTTACACATTTAGGTCACCAAACTAACTATTTCACCATCTTCCCAAAACTCAAAAGGAGGAGCGCTCGAGAGAACAGGTCTCTCAAAAAGCCAGATATCAGCTCGATTATTGGTTTTTAATTCCACCAGTTCAAAAAAACAAACCAAAAAATATGTTTTGTTTACTTTCATATGTCATATATAAGAAAATAATCAAATCCTCACATGTGAGAAACTGTTTGGCATAATCAACTAATCATTACAGCTCAACACAGCAAGTAGCTGGTGGGGGAGGGGGACCTGGCCAAAAAGAAGTGCACTGGCTATGCACATACACATTAAGCTCTGTACAGCCTGCAGGTTCAAATGTGTACTTTGACATGAAAACCATAAGACATCTCTTTAAGCATCATGATGCTTTAGGTAGCTTCCCATGTATTTGGTTCTTGGGAACTACACATGAAAGGTCCATTTCCCATGTGGACTTAAAAAGCATACAGTATGTGTCCTCTGTACGCTCTGAGATTACCTTTTGTCAAACATTTGCTCTGGTGAAGGTCTAAAGATCAAATACTTGGCTTTTTGATTAAATATCCACATTGAACTTAGTGCGCACAGCCTTCCATAAAGTATAAGGTCCCAGCGTGGTCTCATTTTGAGCAAGGGTAAAGTCTGGAACAAGAGGCAACATTAGCAGCTCACTTTATTTTATATTACTTGTCCACCTAATTTAATACATTACATTCATTCTCAACAATGTTCTGGCATATCTGCTGTAAAGCCTGATAAGCAAGAGGATATTTAAACAGCCTTTCTACTTCCTAAGCCATTCCTTAGCAAACCATAGAAAAAGCTCATTTTCCTGCTAGATAAGCTGTTGCACACTGGGAGAGGTAAGACGGGAATCAAGTTAACACTTAACAGCGCTAAACAAAGCGTGACAGTCAGCTAGGTGCTCTGTTTCAAGTTTACAAGCAAGGTACGCCTCTTGGACATCTCCCCACCCACGTGTAGGTTAGATAAATTAACATGCCTGTTTAAAACTTAAAAAACGAAGCCTTTGAAGACAACACCACAACAGTCTTTCCTTTATGTTCACAGTATTAGTACAAGTGAGACCGCTGAAGAGCTCCTGCTTTTATTCATTTATTGTTCCTGCTCCTAAATAGTGTGGAAACTCAGCAGGTGGCTGTCTCTCTGGCTTGCCTTGCATTTGGGAGGAGCAATTTATTTTGCCTCCATTATAGTTTCAGGTGGACTTTACCATGCAGGTGGAACAGCACCAAGACTACTGAGAACAAAAGGGTTTTTGTTTGGGTAGTCCTGTGCTGATGCAGGTGCAGGTGGAAGAACGCAGCCTGTGTGTCCTTCAGCAGTATCCTGTCCAGATTAGACATTTTTGGCTGCTTGTGCTCAACAGTCTGAGAGCAGTGCAACCTCTCTCTGTCAAATTTCATCATACTGTGATTTAAAGGAGGCAGAGAACTAAAGTTATACTTGTAGTTGGAACAAGATAAGTCGCATGTATGACAGTTCAGTGCTACAACTGAGCTAAATGATAAAGAGTTAGCGTTGGTGGGATGTATACAATGTGAGCAGGGCTGTGAGTGCATTGGATTATTTTATTCTACACGCTGTCATTTTGTTGTGAACTATCCTGAAAGTAGCCAAACCGGTGAAACGCCACTTCCTCACACACCGATAAGTCATGGTTGAAACCAGACCGTTGACTCAAAGGGCTTACTAATGTACCTGCTGGAGAGACACACCTTGCTGAGGTTACACGTTTCCGTAGTTACGCAACACCATCTGCAACTACTACTCCTCCTCACCTGGCCTTAGCAAGAACGCCACGGTTTCCTCTGTGCGACTGATATCATAAGTTAGACCCCTAACAGCTCATCAACGTCGCGCTACTTTTCTGTCCTGGACTCATGTCTTGCTAAATGAACGGCTTCAACATTCTATCATTATGCTCAGGTGTGTGTTAACGCCTACTTGAGCTAGTTGTTTATTTTGGGCCTGGACGCACCGTTTACTGTATAGACTTCATGTTTGACAAAAAAGCTGGTAATTAGCCAACCCGTATTAGAGGTTTAATTTCAAACCCATCCTTACCAATCTCTGTACATAAAAAGCAACTCAATGCTGGCGTCCTTAAAGATAATCCCACTTTTTTGGTACATTCGGCATGAAAGTAAGTCACCATGAAAACTAACGTTTATTCAAACTCAATACAAACTGTCCATAAAACAAACATTAATGCTGTAAATCTTAGAGACCACTGAAAGTATATTTTAGCAATGGAATGTTTGTGAGCTAGCATGTGATGGTAATTTAAAGCATTTGATGAAAGTTAAACACAAAACGTTAAGTTATAACGTCAATCAACATTTGTTGGTTATTATCAATACGGCACAGAAGCTATTATACGGAGAAATGTTCAAATTAGATGGTAAAACATGCAACAACTCTACCGTGCCTGCTTTCTGGGTGGAATATCTGGACTAAAGATTAACCGGTGAGAAAGTAGGAGAATGATGTCTGGCTAATGAAGCAACTTCAGCTAGCTTGAGTTGGAGCAGTTCAGGTGTTGAACGGAAAGAAAACAGGTGGCTGTGATGGACAGGGTAGTTGAATTGTTAGCCAACTGGATCACACGCCAACACCTGTGGGCACCAGTTATCTGGAAGCGTGAAGCGTGGGCCCTAATCCCAAACCCACCTGAATCAAAACGGCCGTTGCTCAGCCGATGTCCCACCGTTCACAGCTGCTGGATGAGATTCCACCCCCGGTCAGTATCCAGTGTTTTAGTTGGCTAGGAGCTCTCTCCTCATACAAAGTCAAAGAAAATATGACCGGACCGAACGCGAGTACAGGTACCAAGCAACAGCGTGTTTGCCGAGGAAAAAAATCACGTCTCAGCACCGGTTAAAAACTAAAAACTGCTCCTTCTTTTTCCACCGCTACGGCGGTAGCCTCGGTGTTTCCTGCTAGGCTAAACTTCACTGCTTTACTAACTCCTCCCTTATGATGCATTCAAGTGCACCTTGTAAATTCCTACCGACAGTTCAAATCCCGCCCCACTTCCGCGTTAGCTTCACGGAAACCAAAAGAAGTGAGGGCCATTACGTCACGCTGTAGCGCGTGAAACTAGGGCGTGAACACACATTGGGTTTGTGTTCGTCCACCTATTTGTAGGTACATAATAACTACATGTTTATGTTTACCTTTGTTCAGCTTTCCTTGTTTTTTAAATGTATTTCTGTGTAATTACATTGAAAGCAACTAGCCTACATCAAAAAACTGAGAACACAGCGTCCAGGCCATGTAGCTACAGAAAATGTTTTTTGCAATTTAAAAAAGTATAGTAATCACAACTTAGAACAGTAAATATATAGTATACTGTAAGTACTGCAAGTAATACAGTATTGAATATTTGTATATTCAGCACTATGTAGCACAACAAAGAAAACACTAAATGAAAAGCACATTACACTCAAAAATGTCGTGCAAGTGCAAAATCAAAGTCAATAAAAGATTTATTCTGCCTCAGCATCACATCTTTGTGCTGGGTCCAGCCAGAGGACTCGTCCACAAAAATCTTCTATTGGACTGAGGAAAGGGCTGAATGGTTGAAGGTAAACATTTATGTATCACTGGTTGACGTTGAACCTCTTGCTTAGCGGGACACCACGATGAAAGCTGACATTGTCCCATAGACAGGATGCAGTGCCGGCTGATGATCCTGCTCATCACGCTCAAACACAAAATCCCAAAGACCACCCGGAAAAGTGAGACAATGTTTAGTGTGATATGGCCCCAAGGTTAAATGACAGTTAGAGAACCTGTCCCTTACTGATAGCTTGGTCAAAGGGTGACTTTGCCACCACGCCAGGGACTTGACCACATATTGGTTTGATCACATTAGAAACAAGTGTGCCGAATTATGAGTTGTTGTGTGTAAAATATGACAGTTGTGTGTAACCTTTGCTGTAAGTATTAACCATCTTGCAACACAAGTGCATCACAGTGCAAAATGTGTTTTAGTGAGAGAAAATGTGTTTAGAGTTTTATAACGATGTGAAACAGTTACATACAAGAAACCAGGTTAGAGGTTAGGTTAATGCAGAAATATTGTAATACACTCCAATAACACCTTAAAACCCATGTTTACAAGTACCTGATCAGGACTCAGATTTCTCTCCTCCATTTTGGATATAAGAATATACCACTATGGGTAACTGTTGCGTTGTTACAGTGTAGGCATTGATGGATGGGAATGCTATTAGATATGCCATTGAGGAAGCCAATAATCTAATCTGGCCTTTCCTTTCAGTGAAAAGGTCTGTCAAATGTTGAATTCCTTACAGCAGGAAGTTTTGTTTAGTCATTTTTCAAAATCAAGATGCCAAAAGTAAGATTTTAAATCGTGTTTATTCTCACAAATCCAAAATAGTGTATATCTTGATTATTTGATTTGATGAAAATAGTTAGTTAGTTAGTTTGCTGTCACTGTCAGTGGGGGTGGGATAACTTACACCTTTTCACACATTTTCATTACATCAACCGGAGCACAGGTCTAATTAGCTGGAATGATTAAAAATGCTCGGTGAGTGTGCAGGGCCATTACTTTTTGGCCACTATTGGGCGGAAATGCTCCAAATCAAGCTGACAAGAGTTGATCATTTTCTGTGTTCATAACTAACCAGATACCTCTTTTACATTACACAGACATTAGATGTTAAAACTAAAACATACTGATGTAAGAAAAAATATAATAAAAAGGTTTCATATTTTATGAACACAATTTATTCCACAGAAGTCATAGGGAAATAAGAAGTTTAGCCTGTATTTTTACAGTAAGCCCAGAAAGTATGTAAGTCATAATTAAACAGCTCTTGCAAGTTATCTAGATGACAAAGCACTGCGTGCGTATCTGAGACATAAAAATCTAATTATAAAAATGTTACCAGACAGCATTGTTTTACTGTGAAGGCACTTTCCCACATTAACAGGTGCTTTTCAATCAGATCCAATCTGCATTTCAACGGCATATCATTTTCACTGGGAAAATCAAAATCAAATAATAAAGCCTATACAGTGGTATCCGTTGTGCTCATATAGCAGAGATGTGTTGAGGTCAGGACAGACTGAGCGTCCGAGCTCCCTCTGAAGGCGTTGTGACATAAAAAGTCGGGGTTCCGCTGTATCGCTCCTGTAAAAAAAAAAAACAAACATACAAACACACACACACACACACAAAAGTACATTAAACTATGTCAACCTGCAACCAGTAATGAATCTTAAAAATATCCCTTAATCTGAGAGCTAGGCTAGCTTATAGCTGTATGTGAGCATTTTCATGTCCTTTGTGCTTGATGTGGATAACCATTATGAAACCAGACTGTCCATCCAGCAGGGCTGCAGAGATACTCATCCTGGTCACATCTCTCACAGTCCTAGGAAGGAAGTTCAGAGTTTGTTTTTGCAACTAGACACCTTTCCTCTTCAGCCGAGACGCGTCTTGTCCTCCTCAAACTTCCTTTACGACTGCTTCCTCCAAACTAAAATGGCACACTCAGTCCAAAACCCATCCTACCCCCTCTTCAGCAATTAAAACAACGTAGGGCAGACGGATATACTTTTCATCTCTCCATTCATGTCAGCTGCGTACGTTAGAAAACACAGCAAAAAGCTTTAGAAAATCAAAACTTTCAGTAAAACATTAACAAAATAAGAGACAAAATGCTAATTTGAAATATGTTCTAGGTTTTAGGTCTAAAGCTGAATTTGTAGATGTAAGAGGCGGTACAGGACAGCTACTGAGTCCATGCATGTGACCACTACTACAACTACTACTACTAGTACACATCCTCAAAAAATGTTACTCCACCATCAGGTCGGTGTGCGGCAGCTTCAGAGATAGCACGTGTGATAGCACACTGTGTGTCGCTTTGGCTGCTCGTGTTTCCACTTTGTCTCAATAATGAGTGTGTACACTGGTTAGTTGGCAACCTCATGGTGACGAGAGTCCAGCTGGTAATTGTATCTGAAGAGAAATGGTTTCAGCACGTCACGTCACGTCTGCCTCCAGTCTTTATGTTAAGATAAGCTAATTGACTTCCGGTTTTAGAGCCCTTTAGTTACCCTGTGGAACTTTAAACCACTATAGCACTATGGCGCAATGCCAACATAGAACATTTTCATACTTTGACTCACTTTAACTAATTGATGAAGCCTGCAATGTTTTAGATTCTATTTCTGAAAAAGGGCTAAGATACGTCTAATTGTTACAAGTAAATATCTACAATATGACCTGTCAGCAACTGTAAAAAAAAAAAAAAATTAATAATTGAAATACAGTATTTTGATGTCGCTATTACAAAGCACCCTAACTAATAAAAGCGTTAATTAAACAACAGAAGTCCTAAGGAGAACTGTGGTAAGTGTGGCTAGAAAGAACCAGTTCATTAACTTGGCATGTTCTGGTGCTTTTAGTTTGTGTTCTCCGCCTAAAGCTCAGGACTTGACAAGCCGAAGTGAGCTGCAGTTAAGAATTTCCGCTGGATTTGGAGTCACTAGATCAACCTTGAACCCTTCAGCCAGGGACACCTTCAGCAGCTCTTCCACAAACGCCTGCATGTCTGTGATTTCATATTGGCTCCAGTGCATTGTCATGAAGTCATCCGACTGCGTGACCTCAGGGTTAGAGACAGTTAGCCCCCGGTAGCGCTGCTTGTCGTACTGGTCCTGCGGGAGTTCATTAGGCCTCGGGACCCACTCCAGTTTCAGCCTGTTCTGCCTCGGGTTGCATGGGTGGGGGCTAGTGAGACCCTGGGATGTTCTGTAGGAGAAGCGCTCACAAAGTAGAGCCAGGAAGGCTCTCCAGGTACAAAAGAGGTCAACTGTGAAGGCTCGCACAGAGCATGTGCGGAGCTCATAGTTTTCTGGCCCATGGCGCAAGTTAAAGTGGAGAACGCTGACCTGGAATGAGAAGGTATACACAAGTGTGCTGACTACACATTCTCCAGAGTGTACACAAACACAGAACCAGTCTTTCCATGTCTCTGGATGTGCAAACACATGCAAACACACATCCTCTGCTCGTTTACTGTACATACGGTAAACACCAGCACTAAAAGGTTAGTACATGTATTTTTCTATTGAATTCAATCAAAATGGCAAATAAGGTGAAAGGAAAACGTTGGGTTTTAACTTTCTTTCAAAAACACTAGACGAGCTAGACTCAGCTCAGTTTACCTCTGACTGTCCACAATGACACTTACAAGAGGGTCTCATGAGCCCTATGAATACATGTTTCATGATATAAAAAATAGTCTGGAAATTTAATTGAGAAATACTACAGTAGTAATAGAAAGAAGTACTTTCAGACAAAGAGCCGTTGCTGCCGCCGCTTCAATAATTTCCAGTGGGTGAGCTCCAGAACCCCTGTGTTGCTTACTGAGAGTTAGTTGACTGCCCCTTTTGCATTCCTGAATCTATGCACTATTCAGTATGTAAACCATTTACCACATGTTCCAACAGTATTTTAAAAATAATGTACTAATAAATATATATTTCACACTGATTATTGTGGCTGTATCCAAATAGAAAAGGTGCTGTACTGTACTTAACAGCTGTGAAAGAATAGCCACAGCCTATTCTCTACCTGCTGCTGTTCGATTATTGTTATACAAGCTGTACACTCACTACTTTACAATGTAGTGTCATTTCAAGTCAGGCCCACTGACTTGAGTCATTGTCAGACTGACATGTTGGTCTAACTTTAAAACACGTACCTTGGAATCAACATTTATCATTATCATGGCTCCTAGCGGCCCTCCTCTAAGGCTGAGAGGCACTGATGCCTCATAACGGCGAATCTCCTCCAGCAGGGGGCATATCTGAAAGAAATCAGCCTCTCTCCGCAGCAGTGCCAGCTCGGAAAAGCCATCCGGAAGGTCCAGGGAGCTGGAGCGCAGGTAATTCAGAATGTACCTGAACACTTTACCATCGCGGTCTATGAAAACATTTCCTCTGTTATCTCGGAGCACGGGGATTTGTCCGGTGAACATAGCTCCTAGCATTGAATCCCGGCAGCGTGTCAGAGTGTCCAGAGTTGTAGTATAAATTTCTCCCCCAACGTTCAGTGACATCGGGTCCTGGAGAGAGTTCCTGTTGCTGTTGTCATCTGGCGAGTTCAGGTTCAGCATCTTGGAGGCCAGCAGTGATTTTTGATCCTGTGAAGCCTTCTCTGATGTTGTTGTTGGTGGTGGGAGGACAAGGATCCTTCTGCTCTGGTCAGGAATGCTGAGGACTGAGGGACGTGGAAGCTTCGAGTGTTTCTTTTGTTTCCGAGAAAAACTTGTTTCCTTTGACAGTTAGCAAGCCACAGCAGTAGCCAGGAGGCGGCCAAGTTAGGAAAGACCCAAGGAAATCTGCCAAGTCTGTTTCAGACCTACGAGGTCGCTTCTCTTTTCTTTGTCACTGTTGCTTCTAACAAACGTGTCATCCTTATAAATGCAGGCGTTTCCCGGGATTTTCTCTGGTGCAATTGATCTTTTTTGAGCTCCTGAAGATTCTGAATGGTGTCAGGTCAGCCAACAGCAGGCCTACAGTCTGACTGTGTTGAAACAGAAAGGCAGCAGGGCACCAGTGACCAGACCGGCATGCTAATAACTGGACACTTCTGGCTCCGTCTCCACGAAGCTCGCTTTTATTCTCAGCTAGTACCCCTGATCCCTCTCTCCCTCTCTCCCTCTCTCTCTCTCCCTCTCTCTCTCACACACACACACACACGAGATGTCTGAGCAAGACACGGGGGAGACTTGGCAATTTGTCTACAATGCCCCCCTTAAAGTGACAGCCAGAACACTGAAAAGTGCTTTTTATCCCTGTGAACAAATGGACAATGTCCTTAAGACACTTTTCATTTCAAATACCCTTTGGAATGCAGAGATTTTCCAGAATCAGAAAAACAGAAAAAGTTCCCACCTAAACAAAAGCACATCTCACTTTGTTGCACATGCTGAAGTCCAATACAAGGTCTGTGTTAATGCGGCATCCACAAAAAAATGCACATGTTCCACTTAAAATTAGAAGCCTACAACATCTGATCGCTGTGTCAGGTGTAACATGTTGGGTCAGTGAAACACAATTTCCAGAAATCTTAGATGGATTAGAGGAGAGGATCTAAGACTCAATTTCCCAGAGCTTCAAATACACGCACACACACACACACACACACACACACACACACACAGCAGCCTTTAGCGTCATCGTTCAATGCTAAAAGTAGGCCTATTATCAATAACAGAAAGGTCAGAGTATGAGGTGGTTGAGCTGGACAGGTGGGTCACAAACTGGACTTTCACTAAGGAGACATGTGAAACAAAATCGTTATGTTAACCCAAACCATGATCTTTTCCTAAACCGAACCAAGTCCTTTTTGCCTAAACCTAACCAAATTGCAACGTTGCACAAAGTTAACCACTAGTTTTATTTTGAAAGACTTTCCCGGCGTTGCATATTCATTATTTCCTACTTGACCGCGGAGCCCTACACATGCAAAAACAACGCTAAAGGTAAAAATATTTGACAACCTTATCAAGTGCTGTTAATATAATGTTAATGTTACGTTCAGTCAGCTATCTTTAGTGGTGAACAAATAAAGAAATATCTGTGTCCTGACATCTGAGCTTCTCCTCTCAAGCTTAACCCTGAAAGTAAACAGGTGAGGGAGTCCAGCTTCTGAATGATTCGCTGCTTTGTAGTGGAGAGAACATGTAGTTGTGCAAACGCTAACGCTAATGCAAGATGAGCAGGAAAGACAGAGAGAGAGAGATGCTCAGAGTTTATAATGATAACTGGATTTACTGAGGACAGTTAATCTGCTGTACAGACAACAGACATACAACATGTAAAGAGGCAATTTTGGTGTTAAGTGAAGGTGTATTTTTATCTGTTTTGCTAGCCAGTTTCCCCCTGTGTGTGCCAAGCTAAGACCTGGAAATCTCTCTCGCCCTTTCTCGCTCCCTCTCTCCCTCACCCCCAACCGGTCTTAAAAGGAAGTTTTTCCTTGCCTCTGTCTCCTAGTGCTGCTCTTGGTGGGAACTGTTGAGTTTCTGTAAATAGCATCATAGAGTACGGTCTAGACCTGCTCTTTTATGAAAAGCGCTCAGACATAACTGTTGTTGTGATTTGGTGCTATATAAATAAAACTGAATTAAACTGAAATTGAACTGAACTTTATATATTTTAGTCCTAGTAAGACAGCAAACAAGCTTTATGCTAAAATGTTTATTAAAGGCAGCCTTTGCCTGATTACAACATATCTGTTTATCCACCAGCTCTCCATATTTGAATTTAAAAACTTTATTGATTATGATCCTGATAATTAACATAGTTAACATGATCCCTACGGTTTATAGTGTATGTGAGTGTTTTAACCTGTATGTGGAGTATAGTCCTGTCGATGGCATGGGCCTGCAGCAAAGTCACAGTGCATCCGCCGAATCCTCCACCCGTCATCCGGCTGCCAAACACGCCCTCCACCTCCATGGCTGCAGACACCAGCTCATCCAGCTCTCTGCAGCTCACCTCATACAAGTCTCTGCCACAGGGACATCGAGTTACCACCCACCTCCTACATTCTGTCCTAAATAGTGACTTTTGGGTTAAACAGATGTGATGCAGCTGCATTACGTGTACCTCAGGGAGTTGTGGCTCTCCACCATAAGCTTGCCAAACTCTTTGTAGGCTCCTCTCTTCAGGGCTTCAGCAGCTTGGACAGTTCTGTCTATCTCCTCAATCACATGACGAGCTCTTCGATAGATTACATCATCCAATGTGCCCCTTGCCTCTGAAATGATACGGAAGGTCAAACTGCAAGACTTGAACAGCATCAGATGTGAAAGTCCCTGAAATTTAATTAAATTTTTTGACGGGCAGAAAAAGACATGACGAGAGAATTACACCAACGGAATGGGAGGGGACAGAATGGGGCAGGCATCAACACAGCTAGTTAGCGGAGGACAAAACGGGACAGGGCATATTAAAATAAGACAGAGTGGGACAGAATGGATCAGCACAGGATAATAAAAATACACTTCACACCCTCCAGGTCCTTCATGGTAGCATCTCTGAGACTGTCCTTCCCCAAGATGGAGGCAGCCTCCTCACACTGTCTGCGTCTCATGGGGTACTCACTGCCGGTCAGAGAGTGTTTCACATTGGAGTTTGTGATGAGAATGACCAGGCCTGAATCTGCCAGAGGGACAGGGGTGGCCTCCATGGACCTGGGTCAAACCACAAAGAAGTACATGACTGATAACAGTGGAGACTTTCCTCTGCCAAACATTCCAATAGTAAAAATTGGACGAAGCAGTAATCTCGATGTCACAAAAGACTGCTGGATTAATGTACTCTTATGTTTATGGTTGTTTACACTACCTGCAGTCAATGAGCAAGGCGTGCCCCTCCCTGCCAAGAACAGACACAAACTGATCCATAATGCCACAGGGTACACCAGCATGAGTGTGTTCTGCCTGCTGACAGGCAACTGCTTTCAACACCTTGTCTCCATCATCTGTAAGATGAAGAAATATGTAGAATTAATACCAGAAATCCAAGCTCACACACCTGAAGATCAACCAGAAGGGCTCAGCTGCAGCAGAATTTCAAGCTATAATTAAGCAATATCAGTTTATGTGAACACCAATACATCATTGTTTCATCATCTATCTCTAATATAATGAAGACTCCTTTCTGACTACTGAATATCAGTCACATCGGTCTGACTGTATTCTGTGTAATCAGATTCTGACCTGGCTTGAGTTGCTGTAGGAATGTGTAGAAAGCCACCTCCAGAGAGGCAGAGCTAGACAGACCTCCTCCCAGGGGGACACTGCTGGCAACGACTGCCCTGAAGCCAGAGACCGGAGGAGCTGAACGCAGACCAGACGCAGAGACAGTGCACAGTAAATAAATATCCTGCGGCGTCCAAACAAGGCAGGACAATACAACATCTGTGACATCAACAAGCTTCTGCTGCAGATCTCTTCTTAAGGCCCTTTCAGACACAACGTGACAACGGCGCCACTGCGCTCTGAGAGCCATTATTTCCAGCAGCTTGTGTGTGTGAAGATGTCGACACAGCACAGCGCTCGGAGTTTGCAGTGAGTAGACCGAACGGCGCAGCTCAAATTGCGTTGTATCTGAAAAGGCCTCCGTTCACTTTGACAGGACTAGGATTGCCTCCTGTTAAAAGTGATCTTTCTTTTCTTTTAACCCGGATTACAATAAATCCCAGTTAATGTTTAAATTGCTGTGTACAGTCATCGCTCACTTGTTTACCCCTGTAATGCTGTATGACGCCCTTCACATAGTTTGCCCAGCGGGGTAACCCTGGAGACAGCAGTGATCCATCAGTGGGCAGACTGAAGTCCACCCGCCGAGGCTCATCAGCATCCTCGGTTGCTGTTACCACGGTAACATCCTTGCCAGATGTTTGACTCCCTACCACCACTGTCACCAGGGGCAGCGCCTGACTCAACAAACACAAACATGCAGCCGGCTGGTTAGCTTTTCCTCTGTGTCATTAAACAGGAAGTGTCTTGCTTGTTACAGTATGTGGAACTGTAGGTCATGTGATCTGCTCCTTTGTTAAACTGGACAAGCAGGTGACCCACCAAAAGCAGATGAAATCTTGATATGTTCAACTACAACAATGTAGTTAATGTAAAAATTAAACAAGAGGCTGCTCGGTGATCGCATGCAGTGACTCCTTAAAGAGGAGCTATGTCGTCCCCCAGACTCTGAGTGACGCCTGGTCTGACAAACATGTTTCATTCAACCGAATCTAATCGCTACGCCCTCTGCCGCCACCTGAATGTTACCATTGGAAGTACAAATCCCTGGTTGTAGTCGGTGTGCTCCCCTATCAGGTTCACTCTTCCAGGAGCACACACCGCCGCCTGCGGAGCCTCTTCCCCGAAGACCTGCTCATACAAACGCCGAGCGCCCGAGACAAGCTCGGACACACTTGGATATGAACTGGCCATTCCGCAGAAGACACTTTCGACCGCTAGTTCAAACCTTTTTATATACAGTCTATGGTTCAAACACTAGTTATATCAATGACAGCCGCGAGGAGCACGTGCGCGAAATCCGTCCAAAGGAAACTTAGAAAATATCAAATATCCAGTACTTTTTACTTCCTGGTGCTGTAGCGAAAGAGTTTATTGTCATGCTCTGATTGGTGGGAAGACGTCACATGACACGTCAGCGTGTCAGACCCATGGTCGGTCAGACCGCGGCTGCTCGTCGGATTTAGAGATGAGCATGTGGATCTTTTTAAAATATTTATTACTGTAGTATCTGACAAACCAGTTTGTGTATTTTGTTTTGTTTTGCACTGTTATTTGATAGAAAAAAATGAAGGTGTATTTTACCAAGAGCGTCACTTTGTGTTGAAAAGTGGGAAATAAGGGCTCAGTGTAGGAGTGAGACGGTACACAATATTGGAGTCAAAAAAACAAGTTGACATAATACTTTATAGTATTATCTTTTGAAGAAATATTCAATGCTGAGATATTTAAGTGGGGGGTTCAGGGGTTCCTCCCCCTGAACATTTGGAGCATTAAACAAAGAAGTTTCTACACTAATTGTATGTGGAAATGTCTTTATTTATAGGCTTTAAAGGGAAACACAAAATTCAGGTGGCAATTCAAAATATAGAACAACATAATGCAATAATCAGTAGCTTGCTTTTTAGCTTAAGTTACTGTTTTTGGCAATGCACATTTATTTTGTTCTGTATTTACATTGCATCGCATGCTTTCTTTTTGTGCAAATAAACCTTGATGACAGACTGACTGTCGTCTGTTATGATACACGTTTACTGCAGGGTTCCTGATTTCCTACATTAAACCCCACCGGTGAAACAATGTTTCGTCTTCATCGATATGTTTTTAAGCATGTCTATGAAGATTCTCAGTCATCCAGGTCATAGTTATCCAACGAAGGTTAAAATCAAGGGCAACTGGACTTGGTTGAAGATACTGGAAGACTTTTCGTCCCTCATCCAAAGGACTTCTTCAGTTCTGTTTTTAAACATGAAGTTTAGGCAGTCATCCTGATGCACTATGAATGAGTATACATTTAGTGAGAGGGGACATAAATTCTCGCATTCAACTAATTGTGTTACGTGGTACAGCGGCATCTAGTGGCCACGGTCGTCAGGGCAGCTTCATATGTAATTTAACACCTGGAAAATAATGACAGCACAACTTGGTGAGAGAGTAGTGTGACCAACCCTGTCAACATTTGGTAAATCAGTTATATTTGTGAAACCCAGAGTCCCTCACTATGACCAAAATCCATACTGATGGGATATTTCTGGTCTAAAAATGGCCTATATACTTCGATTAGATTGTTTGGATTATTGTGTGACCTTAGTGTATGTAACCCTTTAAAACACAAAAGTCAATAACAGAGTAAAATTACTGTGGGTTTTTTCTGTCTGGTGGCTTTGATCAGAGCGATATAGCCGTTTCTGGTTAAACATCCACCCTGTCTCTGCAGGGATGAAATAAACTGTTGCAAAGTTGTACTATGAATATATACCATATCCACAAATTCTCTCCCTTGGCCAAATATTATTTTAAGGACCATTCTAAACAAATACTGTTAGGATATCAATGCCAGGGGCACACCTCGCTTGCAGACCTGGACTCTGCATGGCTCTTCAGCGACCCATTTAGAGCCATGTATTCCAATAGATTTCAACAGTAACGACTTCATGAGCTTCTCTAATGAGAAAATTCTGATTAATTATTATTTCTCCCAGTGATTTTCTTCAACAACTAACTTGTTTCCTTCATTTAAGCTAGTGGGTTCTCAAATGTTTTCTGTCAAACCCCACTTTATAAGCTGAAAAAAGTTCAAGCCCCCCCAACTCCAGCACGTGCAAGTGGATTTCATTTTTATCTAGAAATAACAACACAGGCAATTGAAATAAAATAAAAGATTCCGGTTAGCAAAATAGTATTGCTTGCATGAGAGCTCTTTTTTCTTCTTTACTAGATCAGCCCTACAGTGCGATGGTGGGGTGGCTGGAGCACTGTGTGGGTGTGATTCCCAGCCTGTCAGTGGCCTCTCTATTAATTAGTCACTAGCCAGTCTGCTGTATGCCTCCCACACTGCTTGCAGTTGTTAACTGTTTGCTTTTTTTCCCTTTCTCACTGGACAGGAGCTGTGGGGCCCAAGCGGGTGGCAGGCTGATTCCCTTGCTATGGTGTCCCTTCATTGATCCCTTACTGGAGAGCGCTCAGTTTCATTTGGATTGTTTTTTAGCAGATTTGCAGTGTTCATGTGTGGTGTAAAGCATCAGGACTCATTCGCCTTATCCTTTTTGCCAACGTAAGCCCCAAACCCTGTTCGATGTGTCCTCCACTTTAATAGAAAACTAATGGGCCTGTAGGGTACTGTGCAGCCACAGTAGCTTGCTGCCATGTGTGAGTGGGAACGATTAAATGAGAGGCATATTGTACAGCCCTTTGAATGAAAGCATTATATAAATTAGCCATTTATCTATTTATTTATTTATTTGGATTTGTGTGCTGCCAAACTGAGGCTTAAGGCAGCTGGTCTACTGAGTAAGTCAGAGCGAATATTTTTAATCTTGTGTAATCTCTCTTTGCTTTTTACAGCAAAAGGTTGATGACCCCTAGCGCGTCTAGAGATTGTGGAAGAAGAATGACTCACATCCCATCCAGTTCCTGATTTTAAAAAAGAAGCTGAAAATTCTATTTTTCGTATTGGAACTACATATTTATATATAAAAACTGATGTATTTAACTGTCGGCTCCTATTGACTTTTTTCCTGTCTTGTCCCAGTCCTGTGATAGTAGGGGATGGGTTAAGCGAAGGGGGTCAATTTCACAATTGACCCCCTTCGCTTAACCCATCCCATCTCGTGGCCATCCCATGACCCACAGGATTCCTGAAAAAATGTCAGCCTCTAATCTGCACACATGCTGAAGTTTTTTCCCCACACAAGCAGCAGTTCACATAATTTGCCGGTCGGGCAGCGACATTTGGGATGTGTGGGAAACTTACCACATATTCCTTTCTTGCTTCTCTGCGCTTAGTCTCTGATTTGTAAGCTTTCCTCTTTTGTATTAGAGTGATTAAGAGCAATGTTGAGGAGGTGTTTACGTAACTGCGCAAGTCCAGCTACAAACTCCACGCTTGACCTACTCAAAGTGAAACGTCTCTGTGCTACACTCTCTGCACTTCTAACACCATCCAATCTTACACAGTCTGAATATACACTGTCCATAAAACATGTTTGTTTTTTCTTCAGTTCAGCTGTTAAACACCACATGGCTTCTACTCAGTGGAATCATTAGGGTCGATTATTCGGCGCTTCAGCACAAATATTTTTTGGTGGAGGAAGGAGGAAAATAAAAGTCTTTGCAAAACCTCACCCTGCTGAGGCTGGATTTATAAATACAGAGCTCTTTTACTATATAAAAAGCTTTACAGAAAGATGTGTCATTGTTAAACATGCAGAAAGGTGAATCTGTTACTGTAATTAGGTCTATTAGTGGTGGTAGCATGTCTGGAGCACAGCTTATTTAACATGCAACAGCATATGGAACGTGACTCCGCCTGGTGGCCACTGTCCCACCCAGCAGGTAGTTAGTGAGACCACCACATAAGCAAACTGTTGCAAGTCTCATTCCTGTTCCTTTGGCTACAAGTTCGCTCTGTAAGTTAATGCCTGAAAGTAAAAAACTAATGTCTGCCATGTTTCTAACCTGGATTCAAGGAAACAACTTCATGACTGGAAAGAGGTTTGACTTGAAAATAAAACCATGAGGTGTCATATTTTCCAGACAAGAGGGTGCATGCTTGGATCGGATGATGATCATGAAAGAACAGTGCTGAATTTAATCATCTGAAACAATTTCTCAGAATCTTTTATTGCATTTCTATCCTATCATGGCATATACATAACCTGTTTAAATAAATAGCATCAGGTTGATTACTAGACAGCGGGTGCAGCACAAAAGCAAACAGTATACTTAAGATACAATAAATAAATGACAACATTGTCCATGCTTTGAAGTGTACAGTTACAGTTTTTCTTATTATTGCTACATTTAAAAAAAAAAACACACCTTTGATCACCAAATATGTAATTCTTACACTTGCATTTCCTGACATACGAATAAGTGCAACATTGTCAGAAACAGGGTTGTGATTTGTTTGAAATTGTTATGTATTGGCACTCGCTCTAAAACTTCAAATTTTACCCAAATTCTACAAGAACTTTATGATAATACGTTTTGCTAAATTGACAAGGCAGCTAATGATCCATCGGTGGGAAAAAAGGTTTCCACTAAAATGCATGATACCAAACATATTCTGAAATTGTTTAATTGTTTCATACATTTATAAGATGATTACGGACTAATACTGAAACTGAATTAAACCTTTTCTTTAACATGATAACTTAAAGTAGATGACCTAAAAGATAACACACAAATATTGTATCTTTTTAAACACTGAGTAAAGCCTTTATGTCACAGTCGCCAGGATCATCAGAGGTCGACTTTCCTTGCACAGTACACACAAAGTAAACAGAGACAAATAAAACAAAGAAAAATCATTGCAACTATGAAGCATATCCATGTACACCCCATCTAACAAGCTAACAATAAGGCAGCTGATTTATCTAGTATTTCATACTTTTGCGATTGCATAACTGAGCAGATTATTTGTCTAATATAAAAACTCTAGCATCTACTTAATGATCTGGTTTGGTCTCAGTCATTAATCAATAAAAAGAAAGCACAAAATGCTGTAAAATTGAAATTATGTTGTGCTAACATGCACTATGAAACAAACATCTAACAAAAAAATGTTTTCCATTTAACATAATACACTAGGCTACATTATCAAATGACTGGGATGGGATTTGAACTGTCACATTTTAACCCAGTGCCAGAGTTATACTGAGAGCTGTACTAGGATCTGGCCCTCCCTAATACAGTCCAAGAGGGAACCTCTGGGTCTGAAAAGTGAAGCCAGTGCTGAAGTGCCACAAACCCTCATTCTTTCTGATGGCCAGCAGGGGGCTGCAAAATAAATCAGATTGTACAGAATTCTATGAAAATCAGGCTTCTGCTCAGCTGATTTATTCCTCAGTAAACACTTGCCTGATGAGTTTATGGTCTCAGTCGCTAGTTTGAAGTCTTCTTCAACACAGCCTGATTTTTATTTAGTAAATGATGGTCCCATTTAGAATAAAATGGAAGCTAAAGCAGGGGTATGCTTTAGGGTGTGTGATTGACAAGGTAGCCACGCAGGCATGTAATAACTGGTTATATATGGGGGAGTGATTGAAAACCCAAAGGAGGCAACGTGTGTGTCAGTCATCAGTCAGCTTCTGTCATGTAAATGAAAAAAATATAAACCGGATTTCTGTAATCAGGGTAGGAGATTAGAAACATTTCTCCTGGAGAACCGTCATTTCTCTGCTATGTATACAGGTAACCGGGTTTCTAATCAGATTTTGACAAGCACGCATGTGCATTATGAAATACTTAAGACAGGGCCAGTAACAGTGGAGCAGGTGGATGAAAGGACAAGCAATTTACTGCTGGAAAATGCCTGCAGCCTCTGCTGAACATCTGTCTATGACTTAAAATCACACACTTACACCACTCAGTCAGTCTGCATGTCTTCTCTTCGTGTTTTAGGCCCCCTATGACACAGACATACACACTAAAGCAAAATAACATGGTTACTAAGGTGTATGTAAAGGCAACAAATATCATGCGGACAAAAGCTTCTGAAAATGCCATAGGTATGTTGATTCTTCCTGTTCATACAGGCTGTGAACAGATGCGTTCTAATGTGACCACTGTAAGAAAGCTAGCGAAAACTAATATGACGCATGGGTATCTTCCAAAGTTGCTGCATTTTAGTTTGAAATTCGAATAGAATTAGAATGCAAGGAAGGTTAAAATCAAGGGCAACTAGACTTGGATAACTATGACCTGGATGACTGAGAATCTTTACAGACTTCTTGCTAGAAGTATCCCTGGGAACAGCGTAATTATACTGATAGATAAATAAATGCACAAATGGGGATTACTGCATACAGCTTCAGACAGTTATTTGTACAAAAAGTGACAGAACATGGTTGTTCGAAGAATGAAAAAAGAAAACTTTACATAATAAATCTAATCTTCCCGACTTTCTCACTACTGCACACCTGGCCAGATGCTGCGTGAAGTGGGCAGGCTTGTTGGATTGTTGGTTTCAGAAAAGTAATTAAAAAATTGTCAAAGGCAGTGCCCCACCCACTTACAATGATCTTAAGGTTGTGGGGACAAGTTTCGGATGCTGTTCTGAAAATCTGACAAGCACTGTCTTATAAGTATACTAGTGCCTCCAGACTCCTAAAGCCACATATCACAGTAGCTTCAGCTGAAATTCAGAATGCATTTTTGCACAGAATGATGAATGGATTATGTCCCCCATCTTTTACAACAGAGTCACATTAGGAAGGGATCACTTCTTCACTACACTAAGTATTGTCCAAATCACATAGCAGAAGGCATTTTTAAAATCTGATAAAATAGACCCGAAAAAAGATCCATGTAATTATAAAATAATCCTTCCAGCAGAAGGCTTAAGATTGAACAAGTTTGAGAGGTTAGCTGGGAGACTTATTTGTTCAAAATGTAGCGACAAAATCTAGCACCAAACGTTGGTCATGGTCTTGTAGATTAATACATTAATATATTATTAATAGAATATATTAATATATATTATGCCTTCTGCAGGCTGGTTCAATGGCCAATAAGTTCTCGAGTCCTGCTCTGAGAATCATGCCTCCATTAAATAAGAGATTAAAGAGACAGTTTAGGCTTCACAGTGACTCAGGTTGGGAGTGCAGTTAAAACCACTAACTGTACCCAAAACTGACATTTGGGTCATCACTGATGGTATTTACCTCCCTGATTGTATCTCTGTTTTGTTTTCTTTACACACCCTTGGGAAGATAACATACTGCTGTAACACCCTGTGAGCATAACAGTGTTTTCTTTCTTCTTCATAAGTTAGAAATACTAGTCAGTTTGACTGTTTGCATTTTTGCAACAACACATTAACCCTTTTTGTATAAAATATAGACAGGTTGAGGATATAGCTGAAGAATTTGCAAGACAAGGTTATAACCATTAGGTTTCATAAATGAGAGCCCAGATTTTTTGTGCAGACATGTCCTGGGATCTTCCCATGGTGGCCTCCATGCGTCATGATGCTATGTTGTAGAGATGGGATTAGGGTTTCTTGGCTTAAGACTTGGTCGGTGACCCGGCCAATGATGTAGCTGATGATTTTGGGGGACCGCTCTGACATTGGGTGACCTTAACATGGACGAAGAGTGAGGCCGGCGAAAGGCTGGAGCCATCCAGCTTGAGCAGTCGGACATGACGATAACCTGCAGAGATAAAGGAAAGAAGGTCAGGACAGCAAATGGCTATTCACAATGTGTTGGCAACCTCAAACAAATCTTTGGTACAGCCTCCATAATAGCCAAACTCTACTGTCCTCAGATGTAGGGGACTTTGGCAAAGATACAAACGCACCTGTACGGAGACTTGTAAAAGGCAGGGTGTATTGTCCTAGGAAGTCATTTCTTGAAGTATAATCATAGTCTTCCACCATGAAGCGAACCAGAGCCAGGTCAGGGACATGGACAGTAAAGTTAAAGGTACAGTCCCACCGCGGATTAAAACCTGAAACAAGCAAAGAACACTTACTAACAGACCTTTTTACATACCTAACTTTGAATAATAGCCCGGGCTTTTACTCGCTAAAATCACTGAACTGACCCTGCCTAGATTTGGGACAGGCCTTTAATTCCTCTTGCACAAAATTGAAATAGGCTACTATGAAACAGTTTATTTATTTCAAACAAAATATTACTTGTATAAAAATTATCCAATAATATTAAATACACGTCATTCATTTGATCTAGCTCCGACAGACGGCTTATGAGCTTTTATTTTGAAGCCAGCTACATAACGAAAACAACAACAGGGTGCAGGAAGTGTGGCAGAAGTTAGCAGAGAGCGACTTCACTTGACAGGATTCACAACTTGGATTCATTTTTATGAAAAGCTGTTTTGATTCTTTTGATTGGTGGACCCTTACAGACTAAAGGAAGATAAATAATCAAGGAACAACACATTCGGACTTAACGTAAATCTATAAGAATTACACTTTGGGACTCTGGCTGAATGAAGTCTGACACTCCTGATTTTACGCATGGATCCATGATGGTAGAGAAATATAGAAATTAATGGCAATAAAACATGCTGTCAATATAGATAAACCCTAAAATATCACAAGTTGTGCTTTTAGGGGAACAGATGTCTTCTTAAGAGGAGCTATGCTGCCCCTGGCTCCCCCGTAGTTAGCGGCAAACATGGCGGATACTTTCACTGTCAGCCCCTGGCCTACATGCTTGCAGCTCTTAATGATTCAGCAGTAAGAATCACAGTCTGCCCCCCCCCCAAAATCATTGTACTCTTTTTGCTGTTGTTTACATACCCATACAAAAGCATGAACATCTAAAGCGGTGTAGAAATTATTTTTAACATGCAACAGGTCTTTGGTCAACAGGGCAGGTTTTTACCGTTGTTGTCAACATGATGGGTTTTCTTCTTATTGTTGTCTATGGGAACACCATGTATCTCCACCCACACCTGAGGGTCCACAATGGAGCTAGGCTTGTCCCATTCAGGTTTTGGGAGCTGCTGAGCTGAAATAATCTGCCATAACAATAATAACAGAGCTCAAAGTGATTAGAGTATCATTATAGAATGGAGCAAGAACAGTTCTCACACTCTGATGTAATGACAGTGTTTGAGTACCTCTTGTGGTATAGATTTCCTCAATAGTTCATGTTTAGTTTCAAGATGCAGTCAGTTACAACTCCCTAGAACCATTGCAGTAAGAAACATCCATTCACCAATGGATGCAGCTTCTGTAGTTCTATGTAGAGCAAAATCAATCATATCGCTCCAGTGCAAAATAACAGTTGGGAAAATACTTTTAGAACCTTCAGTTTCACCTATATTGGTTCTTGCTCCTCAGTTAGGGCAGGTTTAGTACCATCTTACCTTAACAGTGAGCAGGACAGGTCTGTGGCCAGGACCTCCACCAACATTCTCCGGGTTGAACGTGGTGTCAGGCTGACACATGAAGGGAGGCTTCAGGATGTAGCCACACTGACCATTCTGCAGGAACCGGCCTTGGTTTAGGTCCATCTGCTCACCAGGTGTCTGGAAATTCAAAGCAACTGGAGAAACCATAACACAGCTGTGTTAGCGGCATACATTTCTGTCTACCACAACGTTTTTTGATACAACCACTGGTGGTTGGTGGCCTAGTGGGCCAGCCCTAACCATGATAAATGGTAAGCGGACTGTACCTGTGTCGCGTCTTTCTAGTCTAAAAAGAAACTAATCATACACACACACTGATGACACAGCCATGGGGAGCAATTTGGAGCTCAGTATCTTGCCCAAAGACACTTCGGCACGCAGACTGGAGGAGCCGGGAATTGAACTACAGATCTTCTGATTGGTGGAAGACCCAATTTACAGCCACGGCCTTATAAGCTTTAAAAAAGAGGAAAGCCTCCACAAGTAACCCTGCATTCTGGGAGCGCAGTGTTCTAGTGGGCTAATAAGGAACTATGTGTCACAATGTCTCAACTGTAACTAACCTGGGAGGGTCTGTGTGTGGATGACTGTGTTTCATTACTTTCTGTTTTTGAGTGTGTGAGGCTGGCCGGTGTGTTTTGGTTTTTTCTGTCGCTCTGCCTTTCTCTCTCTCTTCCTTGTGGCTAGTTTCTACCCTTGCAGGTTGGCAGGAGGCGTGACTGGTGGGGAAGCATGGGGCGTGCTCACTCACCTGTCTGGCAGACTGATTAGCACACCTGATTTGTATCATGTCTTTCTGTGCTGCTTCATAAGCCCTGCAGTTGTCCTGCTTCTGGGTTCTGTTTGAACCACATCTGGCACTATGAGCTCTTTTCTATTAGTGGACCTATGTGTCTGAAATAAAAGTTGACTGATTTCAGATAAGATGGTGCCTAACCATCAAGAGCTTTGTATGTGAGAGGAAGGATTTTAAATCCTATTTTGGATATTACAGAGAGCCAGAGCATTTCTGCAGCTAACATGGGAGAAATATGATATTTTCCTGGTTCTTCTCAGTACAAATGCCACATGGATCAACGGGAGAGTCTCAAGGGAAGCAACAAATGCACTAGTTTTCTGCATTATTCTGAGACAAGTTGAGCATGATTTACTCTCACCAATCTGACAACCTCCGTTCCACATCTCCTGGGGGTTGTAGTTGGAGGACTGGAGGCGCTGGCCTGAGGGGTAGATCCTGCTGAGCTGGTGGCAGTTGTGACGCACAAAATGCATCCCTGGAGGGGCAGGACAAGAAAAGTGATGAGTCAAGAAGTCCAGTTAGACTTTTGCTTTTTTTTGCTGCCTGAACATACAGTAGTAGAATCAAAAGCCAACTGTCTGTATCCACACAAATCTTAATGTGAATTTTCTTTCTATTACATTTTTTAAAATTGTGGGCGGGATGCAAACGATTTCACTTTACTTTTACAAGGTAATTTTAGTCACATGCACACATCATACCTGAGTCCTTAATGTGCCTAAGCGCTTCACTTTCCGAGAATGAGGACATGTCAGTTGCTGGGTTTTTAGCTGCTTGTTCAAAGCTTTTAAAGTGGACACTGCAGGTGTACACCACCAGCTCTGACAGCTCTGGACTCAGCTTAGACACACCTGGCTGAGATAACACACACAGAAACCATCACACTCTTGGTAAACATCCTGTCACTGTCAGTTTATCCTCAGTACTATTTCCAAGGAATCCTAACCAATTCCACCAAATCCTGTGAGGGACAATGCTGCTGGGATAAAGGTGAGCTGCTGGTACTGTACCCACCTTCTTGTCCTCGTTCTTTGTCGAGGGTTTGCATTCGTTGTGGCTGGCCTCGTCGTCTGACGAGCTGAGGTCTGAAGAGCAGGAGGAGCACTCCTCCACCACACGCTCCCTCTTCCCCTTCACCAGGATTTTACCCTTAAGAGCCTGTACACACAACCAGCACATCACACACACTATACGTTAACAACCTGTTTGAAAATATATATAGAAAGTACATTTACTCAAGTATTATGCAGTAGTAACCCTACTGGAGCCCCCTACTAAGCAGTGCACTTCTGCATTGGCAAGGTGTTGATTTTGCATTGTTTATGTTTTTGTATTGGGTTAGGTAATGAGTGAGACAGAACAGAATGTCTGTGTAAGCGCTGAAAACAAGTATTGCTTGTGGCTTAAAACCGGGACAATTTGGTTGTTGAGCATTGAAATCCAGGTCATTTTAATGTTAGTGTGGGACTGTATCCCACCCCTAACGGCAAACGGCGGTATCCATCCCCTTGATAATGACCCAACAGAGGTTTAATGGGCGGGACTCCCTACCAGTCAGTCAGAAATGAAGAAGCCTCTTGGATGAGAGGCAAAACGTCTTCATGTATCTTCAGCCAAGTCCAGTTACCCTTGATTTTAACCTTGATTCAATAACAATGACCTGGATCACTGAGAATCTTTACAGACACCCTGCATACAATACAACATTGCCAAACCATATCAACACAAACTATACAATCATACTAAACAAAAAAGAAACACTTCAAATCAATAATAAACTTCCTCACCTTTTAACTTTATAATTTTTTTTTTTTTTTTTTTTTTACAGCAATGGCAGATTGTGGAGCTTTTTGCATGGCTCTGGGGTGCTCAGCCAATTTTGCCACTGCAGCAAAAAATTGCACTTCCCCCATGGACCACCATTATAAAAGAGACGACTGAGACAAGCGTCATCATAATGTAAAGTCTAGGTCAGAGCGGGAACTAGCAACACCAGATTAAAAGAAAAAATTCCAGCAAACTGGGAAATACAATGAGATTTACCTAGCGGTAATAGAATTAATCTGCATTGAGTGAACTTGTTTGACAAGGGCTGTAATAGTCCCGCACGCCACCTTTAAGTAAAACATCTGAACACTTCTTCCACCACTGCCTACTATTTTCATGACTGCTAATAATAATGTGTGACTATGGTGTGGTAAGAGTAAATGTTCCATGAGATTAAAATCCTCAAAGCAAATGACATAACGTTGTAATTACAGGTACACATGACAGTGGTTAGAAGGCAAGTGTGCTCTTGTGAAGGTGTCTTAAGGGAGTACGATTACCGGGGCACAGACCATGGGTGCAGGCACCAAGCCTCACACACATATTATGATTATGTGGAAATGTAGAAGTAGGACACAGAGGAGCAGATGGCCCCAGATTTCTCTTCTAACACAAACAGTCAGCTCTCTGCTTCACACAGTCAGAGAAACTGTTTAGCAATGCCTCACATACATAGCAAAGGAAGTCCCGCCAAAGTGAGTCATTTTACCCACATCCACATTCCACTGAAAAGTAGAAAGCACACAACAAATATCTATTTGCACTAATCATTTAATCAGGTCATGTTTTTTAATCTTATTTTTTAATGCAACTGTAAAAACTGCCATTGTGTGAGAAAATTGAATGTGGTTCCAGTACACAGAGCTGTCATTTTCTACGTCATCCCTGAGACAGTGTTAGTCTCAATAAATACAGTAGTTCTTACCTCTGGGGAAGGCATGATGTAAGGGTCCAGATCACTGAGGGGCTTCGTGAGCAGCTTGTCTCCCAGGATGGATCGCAGTTGTCGAGCCATTACTGTCTGCTGCTCCACAGAACAGTGGTTCTCCAGGGACAGGATCAGAGGGTAAGGAGATGCCTGGGAAAGAGGAATGGAGAAAAGGATTTTTTTTTCCATAGCGAAGAGGATAAAGAAATCATCTTTTGTCCTGTTAGCAAAATTGTTATTCCTTGCTTAAGTACAATCCAATTACATTGTATTTATTGGGTCAGGTAGGATTGACTGCTGCGCCAATAACTGGATATGCAGGACACGTGAACAGGATGCACAGTTGGAGTATTTCACCACACTAATGTGAACAGGGACAGGGTGAATCTGATGTTAGACCAGACAATACGAGAATAAAGAGAGAGGGGCCTAAGTGGAAAATACAAAGCCTGAAAGCTTCCTGCACACAAAGAGCAGGCCTAAGACAAAGGAAAAGCACCAAAACTTTATCTATCCAAAAAGAAGTAGTTATACTAGACATAACGCTTCATACCTGCAGAAGAAGAAACAGACAAGCTGTTCCTTTACAGAGAGAAGGAAACTCCACCAGATTTCCTAAATGGACTGACACATTTAACTGCTACCAAGAGAGATCAAGTAAGAGGCTTTTGTATGCCTGGGCAGAAGACTATAGTTCTACAACTTTGTTACTGTAACTTGTATGAGCTTCATTGTGGTTAATTTTCTGTGCAGAATATTCGGTGGGATATTTACGGGCCGCTCCGTCCTGTTCATTTTTATTTTGTGTGGGCAGACCTGTGAAGCTTAAGCAAAGGTGTTAGGAACCAAAACCAGACCCACTCTACCTGTTCTCACCTAGATGGCATTGAGCACAGCTGGACTTTAGGCTACACACTGTGGGTTCCAGATGTGTATGCGTGTGTATGCGTGTAAGGGAACAGTCAGGGCATGTAGTTGCGCGCGTGTGTGTGTGTGTTAGTACAAGAAAAGAGAAAAGGCTCACAAAGCACAGTATATAAAATCCTGGTTGCTGCTGCTAGATACAGTGTAACCAATTCTTTATCACACAGCAAACTTATATTCAGCAGCCATGGTCCTGGACTTTGGTCCTGATAAAGTATAGTTATTGACTCTGCATGCACTGGCAGGAACTAACACAGGTAAAAATACACAAATCCTAATTACTGTGGCCCAACACAATAACTGCCACCAAGACCATGTGTCTAACATCTGATATTTATCTGTACCGTATATCTCACGCCGTATGCATGTATTTTTTGAGCTGACAAGTAAAATGACTCTCATTCTAGTCGTGTACTCACTTTAAAAGCATATTCCTTGATAGTCTCAATGACTTCGACAAAAGGCACTTTGGAGGTGAGTGTGTGTCCATGGTAGATGACTGGCTCTCCTTTATCTCCATCCCAACAGTCCAGCTCAACACAACGGCAGCCATGCTTCAGGGCACTAAGAAATAATCACAATTAAGAATCTTTAAAACAGAGATGAGACAGTGTGAAAAGATGTCATTAACAATGTCATTAAAGATGTCTGCAACAACATCCAGAGAGTCGCTGTGTTCCTGTCCACAACCACCAAAAGTAATGGTGTGTTTGTTTGGTTGTCATCAACTTCAACCTCAAACTGATCCTGAAGTGGTAAATACCCGTCTAGTACTCTAGCAAATCATAGCCAATGATAAACAACATGGCATTTTATAGTAATAATATAAAAATAACAATAATAATTACTACCAATATTTAATAATAGATTTAACTAGAGTTAAATTCACTCTTACAGAAGAGAAAAGTGAAGTACCTAATCTGAGCTAGATTTGACTAAACAATCAATTTGGAATTGATAAACAATTAAATAAATAACTATAACCAAGCCTCAAGAGTTAAGCTGCTTGGCGCTAAGCTACTTTGTTGCTTTTGTTAGCGTGTGAAGTTAGCTGGTAGACTTTGTGTCACAGCGGCTGGTTAACTGAGCTGGTTTGTGGTTTTAAGGCAGGCTCTTGTGTCACTTCTGGAAGAGAGAGAGAGTTTTGCTCTGAGCAGGCCCCGCTGTTGGGGACTTCAGTGGACGAGTCCAGAGAAAAGAGCAAGAGCAGAAGTTGCGCTTGGGTTTTGTTGATCAGGTGACGTCATGGGTCACAGTTCACTGACCAGTCTGCAGCGTTGGTTCCCTGACGCTGCAAGTTAGGATGAGTAGAAGGCAGAGAAGGCTGACTGTTTGTTGTCGGCGAGAGCTTCCAGAAATACAAGGATCATGAGCCTTCCTTTCTGTTAGACTAGCAAGCAATATTAGCTGGCTTGCTATGCCTTGTGTTGTTGCACTCGTTTGATGTTTGGGTGTGTTAGAAAAGTTGTCGACTCACTAGTTTCTGATCATAAGTAATGTAATCATAACAAATACATACGTTTAGCTGACCTTGTACAACAGTGGTGTCTAAGTGAAGTGGGGGCACCAAATCACAAGAAATACTAATTGTTGCACAATGTTGCTTAAAGCTCAGTAAACACAGATTTGACCAGAACCTCTCCCATTTATCTGGGATACTGAAATCTTCCAGGCAGTAGTTAGCCACAAAAGGCTAACTTTATATGTCTTTCTGTTGTGCATTTTCCATGTCCGCCAAAGTGGTGGATAGCTCGACGATTTCACCCACCACTGCCAAAATTTACCTGCAATTGGTGTGTGGTAATTTCATTCCCTGCTTCCAGGATACATGGACTGGATCCAGTGATTTCAACGGAAACCCTGAAATTGGCTTTAGCTAGCTTTGAAAGTCCAGTAGATTGACACATTGATTCTGAAAATGTCACATGTGCATGTGTACAGGTGTGGTCTTATTCATGCTCACCGGATGTAAGTCTCTGTGCTGCTGTCTCCAGTCAGCTGGTCCTTAGTGAGGTAGGTGTTGTGGGAGGAGGAGATGAAGTAGTGTGTCAGTGGGTGTTTCATGTCTTGATAAACCCTAGCATGATCCGGGTTAAACACACAGTTCTCCTTTGACAGCATGTACATGGTGAAACCATTGGGAGTCATGAACTGGTTCCTTTGGGCTGTACTGGGCAAAAGGAACAAACTGTCAACCGAGGCAAAAGGCAATAAAGTGGGGGGTATTTTAGTCAGACATGGAACAAAATTAGAATTCCTTTGGAATGCAACCTGACTTCTGTAGGTCTGATATTCACCCTCCTTTTAGCTCTAATTTGGTCTTTACCAATTCCTGAGAAAATATCTGGGGTTTTAGCTGCTGGTTACTTTTTTGTGTTTAATATCTAATTAATATCTTTGTCTGTCTCCCAGGTAGGCATTGGGCAGGTAGCCTCCAATGGCTTAATCAGAGATAAATGTCGGTACTTTGTAGCGCTGTAACAAATGATTATTGATTAATGATTAAACACGTTGATCAGTGTTTCCCCAAGCCCAAGATGACACCCTCAAATGTCTTGTTTTGTCTACAACCTAAACAATATTCAGTTAATTGTCATGGAGGAGTAAAAAAAACACAGAAAATACTCTGGAAATAAGCTGGAATTAAGAGAATTTTGACTTTTTTTTTTGACTGATTCATTGATTCTCTAAATTGTTAACAGTTAACATTAAATTAATAGCTGACTAATCAATTAATTGTTCCAGTTCTAGTGCTTTGCAATATACTGTAACTTGTAACACCGTACCCCACTCATTAACTTCATAGGTGAGTATGACACTTTGAGCATGGATGAGTGAAGCGTCCTCCGCCTGGTCCTCGAAGAAATCCCTCAGGTCCACAGTGGAAAGCACACAGCCATTTGAAGAGTAATGAATAAACACAGCATCCAGCTCCGGTCTCCGTAACAACTCCCTGCAGAAAATTTCAATCTCTGTCTGGTCCAGACGACCGTCGGCTGACCGGTCACATTTCTATTAGAGAACCAAGTGACACATTGATCAATTAAAATAATTTCTAAATCACTTTTAAATTGCTGATTGATATGGGGCCAATGTTTTTAAGTATGTGTGTGTGCGTTCCACTACCTGGAAGAGGCTGAGGGCATACTGATTACTCAGGTCAATATTGATCATCTGCAGCAGTGTCTGGACTTCTTCGTAGCTCATCTTATCATCGTGGTTCTGGTCGGCCCGACTCAGGAAAGCATGAATCCAGGTGACACACAAAAATAGTCAAGGAAGCAGCAAGAGCAGAAAATGTACAGTATCAGATGGTGTTCTAGTTTAACCCATGCAGGGTTTTTAAGCGCAGAACTAAGATTTAATCATCCTAATTCTGTCTGTAGATACTTTGTGTTGGTACTCTGGGTTTTGTGGAACATTTCCTCAAGGACGTAAAAAAAAGAGTGTGTCAAAAGTACCAACATATGTTTTCATTGGGCGCCAGTTAGGTCACCTGGTAGAGCACATGCACCACTTACAAGGCTAAAGTCTTTACTGCATTTCCTGGCTCTCTGCAGCTGTTCTATCAAAATCAAGGTCAAAATACATGTGTTTTCAGTGGATATTTGTTACACTATTGGCGCAAGCAGTTGACAGTTTCTTGTGCTTTTATTCTTGCCACTTTTTTCTCCCCATATACAGTGAACACCGTTCTACAATTCCAAATTAACAACAATAAGGATATTGGTCAAGTTTCTCCTTCTGGGTCATGTTGTTCACCCTCTCCTGCAGGGTTCGGATGCCACGGGTCCAGTACTGAGCCTCCTTCTGACTCTGGCAGAGGAGATCCAGGCTCTTGCGGGACCCTTTGAAGACCACAGTGAAACACCGGTCCTCAGGTACTGAGCCGGCCATTCGACGCAATGTCTCTGACTGGCAACCCTCACGAATGCACTCCACATCCATGACAGAGACTGAGGATGTGTGAGGGGAAGAGAGAGAAAAAGTTGGAGAAAGAGGGAGAAAAGAGTGAGTAAAGAGCAAGTATTGCCCAATTAACATCTTTTACCATCTTATAGTGTAAAAGTTGAGTATGGACACATATAGGTAAGACGGATTATGTTCCTATATAGGGCATTACATTTAAGACAATTACAGGGTGGCGACACAATTTTTTATATTTAAAAGGAATGATCAAATAATCAAACAAGCAAGACAGGCAAACCTAAAAACACAAGAGAACACTGGAAAAGGCTGGATTGCTTGCCAGAATGACAAAGACGAACATCAACAAACAAGGGGAACACACTGACTTAAATACACAAGAGAGGAAACCAGAGGAAAAATCCACAAAGTTAGAAATCATTAGGACCCACAACCAAAACAGCCAGGAAAACACACAAAGACAAGTAAAGTGCACAAGACTCATAAGGAAGAATCCTTTCAAAATTAAACAGGAAACAACAAAACTCAATCCCAAAACTATGACATTAACCAAATATAGGCTATTCTATGCCCAAAATAATTTTAGTTTTCAACACATGGCATAACTATTATCTAATATACTGTATGTCACCATTTACAAAATGATAGTTCTAATTTGGATGAATGAGTGTCCTGAATAGAGTCGAATATCATGATGTGAGAGATAAATATAATGTAATAGTATATAATACAGTATTAAACATCATGGTATCAATGATAGATACAAGTTAATTTGGGCGTATCACACACCACAGCTAACAGTTATTTCAACACTACAGTTACGCACGTGTACAACCTGGTGCAACACTATGAATGACTTCCAGAAGAGACTGTCAGTAAAATTCATACCATTATCCCCATATCATGTCTCCCCTCTCTCTACGACAACTGGCTTTTCATCTTCAAGTGTGGCTGTTCAATACACATTAGGCTTCTGACTTGGTTGGACACCTTGTCAAACGAACTACTTCTAGCATAACCCAATCCTTACACGACTGAATCATGAAAGAAAAGGGAACTTTAGTCTTTTGTGCAGCTCTTTCAATCACAGCGCTTCTCCATGCTTTTGATCTTGCTCTTTGTGAATTCAGTTATAGTCTCAAACTCACATTTTTGGAAGATAAACTCACGGTTTACTCTAGGGCTGGACAATAAAAAATAACAACAATTATTGCGATTAAATTTTTACAATAACAACATAACAAATGTTCAATAAATATTCAATAAATGTTGGATTTTATTCACTTGAATCATACACAAATTAGGACTTAATTTTTATTTATTTATAATATTTTGTTGAGGAAAAAGGACTGAAAAAAGCTATTGCTTAATTTTATTCATGGATATTTGTTTTGAATGTTCTACCTCAGATTTGCTAAGTGATCCTGTTTGGCCTCAGGTGTTGACCATAAAGAAAAGTTTAAACCACAATTAACCATCAGGTTTCTTCAACCTTCACTCAGGAGCAAAAATACTCTACCCTTAAACTCGAAAGAAATAACAATTTGATACTTATCGCGATAATTATCAATATCAAATGATATGAAACTTTTCATCGTGATTACATTTTTGGCCATATCGTCCAGCCCCAGTTTACTCAAAGTAACTAACTAAACACACTAACTAACACAATTTTCTCTAGTTAAAATATAAAATAACCCAGGGGGTTACACTTATACACACACAAATTGGTGTGTGTGTATATAAGTGTAACCCCTGGGTTATTTTATATTTTCTAAAATATTTTCCTTGTTGTCTATGTACATATGTAATATAATGTTTTAACATCTGTAACTATTTAGATGGGGAGTAGTGTAATTTAGTAATAAAAGGTACAGTTTTGAACATATGGTAAGGTGTTAAAAGCTAGCCTGCTTATTGTAATTTTTGTTTATTTTAGAGCGTTTAAAATGTTTAATGTGGTTACTTCTATTACAGTTTTTCTCGATGCTTAAAAACATTTCTTGAAATTATGCCTCTTATTCTCAAAACTCTAAACACAAATCCATAAGTGGTGCTACCAGCAGAGTTTCAGGAGCGGGACCACACATCAATGACGTCACTCCCGGCATTTCCATAAATACCCACACAACACACTTCCTCTTCTTCGCTCTCGCATTCCGCACCCCTCCCGCCCACCTCTTTCTCTGTCCAGTCTCCTCATTTCCTCTTCCTCTCCATAGGGTTATATGGGGGTCCGTCTTGCCCGGGCGCTACCGCGGATTTCTCTATCGTAGCTTCCCCACAACGCTTTCGAATGTCTATTCAGCAACTGCAAGCATCATACATCTTCTGTATTTTTATCAATAAATCATTTTATCGTATCTGTTGATTGTGGTCCTTGCTATTGAAATACCCCAATCATCCTATTTTTCGGTCAAAATCAAGCTCTCCACTCAAAACCATTCAATCTTGCTAAAAACCGAAATCTACCCTCAGTTATGACACATAAGCCCTCAAAAACACACGCACTACAACACAGTCTTACACACTGGTGAGATAAATTCAAAACAATACCACAAAAACTGGTTTTAAACAATGTTGTTGGTGGTTCTACCCCTCAAATACATAACAAAAGAAACAACAAATGTATCCATTTGCACATTTTTTATTCCTTAGCGTACTAAACAGTACAACACACCGAACAACAAATTAGTCTACCCCAGTGTCCTGTCTTTGGTCTGGGACAGGCCATTGATTTTCGTCCTCCACCTTCACCTCCTCTCCATCCTCATCTTCTTCCTCCCCCTACTCCTCCTCCACCACCCCCTTCCTATTCCTTCTCCCCCTCTTCCTGTTCTACCTACTCCTCCTCCATCTCCTACTGTTCCTCTTCCTTCCACTCTTCCTCCTCTCCCTACTACTCTCCTCCTCCTCTCTGGTGTCCTCTACCTCTTCCTTCACATCTCTCTGAATCCATTGTTCCAAAACTGAATGAACTGACTCTGGTCTGGTGTGTTATCAATTATGACTCTTTGTGTTTCCACCTGGGTAGCTCAAGCTTTGCTGATTTGAGCGAACAATATTGAATGTCAGTGTTTTCTAAATGACCACATGGTGTAGGCAATGTGAAATAAAGGGATTTGTGTGCAGAGTTTAAGGAAATGGGTGTGCTTTTTGAAATTTTTAGTTCAAAAGCCTGCTTATAGTGTTTAAGCAATTAAGAAAAACTGTAATGTGAATTATTCAGAGGGGGTTTAAATGTGCATCACAAGGGAGAATACACACACAGTTTAAGAGTCTTTATACTTTTAAAAAGTAGACGGTCATCCAATCAATAATCATTATGAAGGTAGTACTACTATTCAGTGTAAGTTAAACAAATCTAGGGTGCTGCTCCTAAGGCTGGTAGAGCAGAACAGTGTTACAAAACTAATATTTTTTTTATAAATCAGTGTCAATAGATCTTTTATGTAAAACCTCGATCTGCAAAGTAACTAGTAAATGTAGCTGTAGCTGTCAAATAACTGGAATGTACAATAAAACCCTCTGAAATTTAGTGGAGTTGACACAAATGTTGTGTGTACAGAACAGATTTACAACAGAAAATCATAAGTAAAGAGGAGACAATAGAGCAGCTTCATGTGCAGCCCACTAAGTAAGATCTGAGCCACACCACCTCCTCTACCATCAAGACCTGGAAAGAGGACCGACCACACAAAGAGGACAACACCATTCACAGAGTGAGGGTGAAATAGAGCGTGAGCTAGACAGGCGGATTGGGGCGGTGTCAGAAGTAATTCGGGCGTTGTCCCAGACCGTTGTGGTGAAGAGGAAGCTGAGCCGGAAGGCAAAGCTTTTGATTTAACAGGTCGATCTACGTTCCTACCCTCACCTACGGTCATGAGCTTTGCGTAGTGACCGAAAGAATGAGATTGCGGATGCAAACGGACGATCTGGAAAGCGTTGCTGGGGAGAGGGACGTCTGGACTACCCTCTTTAGTCTGCTGCCACTGCAACCTGGCCCCACATAAGTGGAAGAGGAGGGATGGATGGATGTACTTAGTTCATTTACACCACTGCTCATATAACTGATGACACAAAAGCAGCACATCTCCATCTTAAAGGTAAAGAATTCCAAGTACAATTCCAACTACGCTTCATGCCAACATCAAAGTCATCATGATGACTAAGAAACTTCCTGAGTTACTGAAGACTGGGAAATTAAATGGACTGTACTTGTTTAATGCCTTTTTAGTTTTCTGACCACTCAAAGCACTTTACACTGCATGTCCTACACTGATGGCAGAGGCTGCCATGCAAGAAGCCAGCTGCACATCAGAAAGGAACTAGTCATTTCTCCACTGATGGCACAGCCTTCATGAGCAATTTAGGGATCAGTATCTTGCTCAAGGACACTTAAAGATACAAACTGGAGAAGCTGGGAATCGAACCACGACCTTTTGATTAGCAGACTATCTCCTGAGCCACAGCCCCCCCTCAAGACACAAGGACATCACTTCCACTATTGATAGAATAGGAAAAAAGTAAGAATCTGAAACCTGAAATATAAAAACTCCAATCTATCTAAACTTTTACTGTCCAGTTCTAAATATGTTGATACTCTCATCTGACTACATTCAGTTATAAGCTTAATGAGCAGGCAAGGCAAGTTTATTTGTATAGCACATTTCAACAACAAGGTCATTCAAAGTGCTTTACATAAAACATAAAAGCAACATAGGGAAATTGAAAAATTACACATTCAAAAATAATAAAAGGCAGGAGTGCTGCAGTTTTCTCTGCACTATGTTCTGCCTTGAGGTCCTTTGAGTCGAATGGAGCCTGAAGGGAAGAACTACAGACATTTTTCAGTGCTTAAAAAACTTTTTTGAGCAGTTAATACTCTCCTTAAAATACCTATACTACCATTTTTTAAACATATTTTTATTTTAATTATGTTATTTTTTTTCATATAAACATATATCTTTGAAATGTATGTAACATACATCACATCTGAAACCACACAAACCAAGCCTAACCCCTTGATAGACTGTCTGTCAAACCATGAGACCAGTGGTTCCTGGGGATTAACCCATAAAGGGTTGTAAGATTATCAAATGAAATATAAAGAATAAAACTTTTTAAAAACTTTGCCACAAAGTCTTTTTCTTGAAAACTACTGGATATTTTCGCCTCTTCAGGCATCAAACTTTTATATAAAACTGGTTGAACTGCTCTTAACTCACGTCCTCACTAGGGCCATAACCTTGGGGTATTAGATTTTACTTAATTTTAAAAGGCCAAAAGACAAAAGTTTTGGGGACCACTTCATACACCACCCAGTCACAATATAGCAAACCCATTTGATCTACTAGTGGAATAAATTTCTGGATGTGGCTGATAAGCTTTCTCATATCAATTCATCTATAAACAAGACATGAACAACTACTTTTCTTTAGCTTGATAGTGTGTTCGTGTGAGAAGTTCTCTGATCTAAAGGGGATGCATACAAATACAGTGTGTTACGATCCAGGGTGTCATGAAAGCAAGGCATGTATGACACACACACACACACACACATACACCAAAAACACACATTGCCACATCACAAGCAAATCTAGTCTTGCGGCAATGAAAGGCCTCGTACTGTACTTGGGAGGATAACCTAGTGGTTGAGTCGTATGGTAGCTATATAACACCAAACCACAGGCTCCAGGGCCAACTCCCATCGCCATATAATGTCCTATAATCTCACTGGTTGAACTACAGCAGGATCGGCTGCCATCTTAGGCTCAAAATAGATGAGCTCTATAATCAAGGCACCGTGTGTGATCCTCAGATAGCAGAGGATAAGTAGAGTGAGCGAGTCTATGTCTGTCCAGAGCATTAAGTACCATTTAAAGTGAACAAAAATAGATTCTGTATATCCATGTTTCACCTTACACACCCACTCAGAGCATTGAACTCTTCTGGAAGGCAAAGTGAAGGCTTGCTTGTTACTAATTATCATATGGAGATGGTTGTTAACCTCTGGGTGGGCCCCTTAAAATGACTAGACGTCATTATTTTAGTCCTGTGACAGATACCAGATGTGTTTCTTTTTTGTGTCAGAGCATTTGATTTATTGTAGGGATGTAAAGAGAATGTAAAAATATATAACAAAAACTGCTTCTCAAATAAATTGTTCGTTTGTTTAATGCATACGATAGAGGTCTTCAAGCAAGACCTGGGACCCGTGTTAGGCTGCATCTAAATTCAATTCTAATCTAATCAAGTTAGGTAAAGGTAAGGTTGTAAGCCATTGCCACAGATGTACCAATGTATCAATATGTCTAAAGGCAGGGGTATGCTTGATACAAACTAGTTCACACTAAAGGGTTCATAGCTGTTGCTGTTGTTTAAAGCAGCCCCGAGCGGCAAGAAGATGTTCACTATTTATACCTAAAATGTCCTCTGCACGTTGTCCTGTTAGTTTGTGTTTGTAATTTATTGATACAGAGGAATATGACATTGTAGAAACAAATTTCTATGAATAAAATAGATTCGGATTCATATAAAATAACACACACACACACAGGCACACACTTACAGGACTGTTGTTCCTTGGCCCGGCTGGAGGTTTTGTGGGACTGACACCAGACAGTGACACCGTCTCCCAGCAGCTTCAGCGTTCGTCGCTTCTGCCAGCGAGGCGAGCGGACCTTTACATGTGATAAATGAATCCATTAAATCTCATTCATTTCATTACTATTACTAGTTACCACTAATAAGTGACAACTACTAGTAGTTCATAATTAGTTATACCTTTACCATACTGGAGCCCTGCATCATCTGCCTCACATCTTCATTATCCTCCACTCCTGGTCAGAAAACAGAAAAAACTATGGTTGGAGAAAGAAAAAACTGGACTTGATTGTGTAGTGGATGGCAGTAAGTATGTCCATTATGGTCCTAAACCAGCTGTTTGGTAGGAATGACAAGGTATGGACAGAGACATAAAGAAAGACATAAGGGATTGATAATGTGGAAAAGGAAAAAGTAGAGAGAAGATGAAGGGTGACGCAGAAAGACTGAATGGTGTTGAGGTGGGACAGGGAGTGACATTTCTAATGTGCTTTTGGCCTCTTATGAAAGCTGTATCCTGTGACACCTTTTTACAAAGATGACAAATGAGGAGCTTTGGCTGTATTTCAGACATAGGAGATTTTGTAATACATATACTCATTTGCAAGCTTGAAGCAGTATTTCTGTTACCATCTCCCCACTTCATTGCATGAATTTGGGAAGTAGGGATGCTGAGGGGGCTGCAGCACCCCCTTAAATCAGGCATAATAACATAAATTTATAGTGATGCAGACTTGCAGCAGAGAGAGAAAGGGAGCTCATGGATGAGCGAGAGAGAGGGAGCATGTGAATATGTACAGAATTGAGTTGACCTGACATAAAAACTTTCTTTAAACATGAAGCATAATGTTATTCTGCAGCCCTTGTGGGGTGGTATGTGTCATCCTCAAGCTCGGGTCCTCTACCAGAGGCCTGGGAGTTTGAGGGTTCTGCGCAGTATCTTAGCTGTTCTTAGGACTGCACTCTTCTGGACAGAGACCTCTGATGTTTTACCTGGAATCTGCTGCAGCCACTCTCCCAGTCTGGGGGTCACGGCCCCCAGTGCTCCGATTACCACTGGCACCACTGTTGCTCTTACTTTCTACATCTTTTCTAGCTCCTCTTTCAGCCCTTGGTATTTCTCAAGCTTCTCGTGTTCCTTCTTCTTGATGTTGCTGTCGCTTGGGATCGCCACATCGATCCCTGCAGCCTTCTTCTGCTGTTTGTCGATCAACACGATGTCTGGTTGGTTAGCCATCACCAGTTTGTCAGTCTGGATCTTGAAGTCCCACAGGATCTTAGCTCGGTCATTCTCAACTACCTTAGGAGGTGTCTTCCATTTTGACCTTGGGACTTCCAGCCCATACTCATGGCAGATGTTCTTGTACACTATGACAGCTACCTGGTTATGGCGTTCCATGTACGCACTTCCTGCCTGCATCTTACACCCTGCTGTTATGTGCTGTACTGTCTCAGGGGCATCCTTGCACAGTCTGCACCTGGGGTCCTGCCTGGTGTGGTAGACCCCAGCCTCTATTCATCTTGTACTGAGTGTCTGTTCTTGTGCCGCCTTGATTAGTGCTTCTGTGCTGTCCTTCAGTCCAGCCTTTTCCAGCCACTGGTAGGATTTCTTGACATCAGCCACTTCTTCTATTTGTCTGTGGTACATGCCGTGCAGCGGCTTGTCCCTCCATGAAGGTTCTTCGTCTTCCTTGTCCTCACCTTCAGGTTTCTGCTGCCTGAGGTATTCACTAAGCCCTTCATCTTTGGGGGCCATCTTCCTGATGGACTCCTGGATCTTCGTCGTTTCATCCTGGACAGTGGTCTTGACACTCACTAGCCCCCGGCCTGCCTCGCTACGCTTGGTGTAGAGTCGCAGGGTGCTGGATTTGGGGTGAAACCCTCCATGCATTGTGAGGAGCTTTCTTGTCTTGATGTCAGTGGCCTATCTCCTCCTTTGGCCAGTTTATTATACCAGCGGGGTATCTGATGACTGGCAGAGCGTATGTGTTGATGGCTCGGATCTTGTTGTTCCCATTCAGCTGACTTTTCAGGACCTGCTTTACTCTCTGTAGGTATTTGGCTGTTGCGGACATCTTTGCTGCCTCCTCATGGTTTCCGTTAGCCTGCGGCACCCCAAGGTATTTGTAGCTGTCCTGAACATCTGCAATGTGGGCTTCTGGTAGTTCAGTCCCCTCGGTTCTGATCATCTTCCCTCTTTTTGATACCATGCGACCACACACGACATTCCACTGTTGTTGCTGTAGATCCTGTTAGTGTGGAGCAGTGAACATATATGGTGCTGGGCAACGATTAAATTTTTTTAATAATCGCATTGTTACGCGTAATAACGAATTCTAAAATAGTGTATTGTGCAATTTTAAATTTCAAAAGTGCAATAACATGTGGTGTGCAAACACTTTAAACAAATAAGGTGCTTTTTACCAGCAGTATCCCCTTTACACAGTAGTGATAAAATATTTCTTGTAAATCTCAACTTAAACATTAATGTAATCAAATCAAATATAAAACCAAAGCTGCTCTTTTATCTAGCTTGTTAAAACAAGTTACCATCAGAGTCCAATTTTCTTGTTTTTTTTTCTGAACAAGTATCAGCATCAGGTATCTTTTATCAGGGAGCAGCAGAAACAGTCTGTTCAGTAGGGTTGGGACAATGTCTACAAAACTACATTGAAACATCGGGATGGATGATGGCATGTGCAGCGGGGTCGGTGCGTGTGTTCACTCGCACAGACTTCACTCGGTTAAAAACTTGAAATGACGTTACAAGTCGCGGTGGATATTTTACAAGCACAGACCAGGTAACGTTAAAGCAACATTGAACACAGGGTGCAGATGTTAGGGACTTTCAAACTAATAATAATAAAATAAAAACTGCATTATTAAGTATAGAGATTTCTAGTCAGGTAATATTTTTCAGATGCTGTGAAGCCACACATTAATTTTTTCACGCAGTGAAATACAAAAATGTAATTATAACTGATAAGATTCCGCCCAGCTGATGCAATGCCGGCGTACACCCTGATAGTAATCTACTGACTCGCACCGGTCGCTTTGTGAGTTCTGACAGTTGGATGAATGGTAACTGGTAGAGTTTTGCAACATGAACATCTAAAAAATGAGGCGCAAACTTGCTCTGTTTGGGACTGTGAGCACTTTATGAGCTGCTGAAGTTAAGGTGTGTGTGGATTTGTGGTGTGTTTTCTGCCTGAACAGAAGTGTTTCAGTTACTTTCAGCTTCATAGCCTACAGTCCCATACTGCGTCGGTCAAACGGTCTGAAGGGGATAACGTTACTACCAGCAGATCACAGGACAGTAATGGGCAGGTAGACTTCTCATTAAATGATGACGTTAGTCTGGTAATATTGTGACTTTTCTCTGCACATGTCAGAGAACAAAAATATGTGGGAGAGATTCTGAATGTGCAGAAAGTTTTGACCATGTGCAGAAAACTTGCTGTCCAGGAGTCCAGGAGTTTCTAACTGAATGAATATTAATTAATTTATCATTGAGGTGAAAAGGTGCCACATGCACATTTAAAGAGGTTACTTCCCCAAACAAAGACACAAAGAGGAGTCAAAGCTAAATCATGACTCAGCAGGGATGATATTACAGGAGAAAAGTTGATCTACAGGACAAACAGATCTGAGAGCAACACAGAATGACTGAGAGCTGCTCTGACTTATATTCTGTTATAGTTAGGCTATAGAGTTTGAACTGTCACCTGCCACTTGAATTTTACATGAATAAAAACATTTTAACTATAAACTGGTTCAGAAAAATCTATCTATCTATTGTTTGTATCTATAGCTGCTGTGGCTGCTTTCACATACAGTATGTTGATGTTCAGGTTTGCTGTCTGCTGTAGTGTAAAACGTTCCAAATTGATGTCATAACTATTGGAGAAAGGTTGTCCTTGAGATTCAAATTAATACAAAAAACAAGAATATCGCACCCCTGAGATGGGCTGGCAACCTGTCCAGGCTGTACCCTGCCTCTCGGATTGTCCCCCCCCCAGTGACCCTGTACACGGGATAAGCGGTTGACAATGGATGCATTAATGGATGAATATTGTGCACCAATTAGTATGACGTCATTATATGGGTGGTGATGGGGCAGTGGATACGACACATGCCTTTGGTGTGAGAGATCCACTGTGAAACACCATTGTGTCCCTGAGCAAGACACTTAACCCCTCGTTGCTCCAGAGGCGTGTGACCTCTGACATGTATAGCAATTGCAAGTCGCTTTGGATAAAAGCGTCAGCTAAATTAATAAATGTAAGAATGACCTTCCAGCATCCCTGGTGTTAAGAGGGGCAGGTGCAACATTAAACCAGCTGCAGTGAAATCTTTCTCTGTATACACCGGGTCTGACCGTGCAACATCTGTTACCCTACATGACTTATTTTTGGGCTTAATTCTTCAGTAGCAGTCGATGAGTCAGAGCTGGGATTATTAGTACGGTGGCTGCCTTGGATTGGTTTAGCAGAGGGCAGTTTAGTAGGAATGAATGCATGACACAAGAGATCAGATAAAAATATATTTAATAAGTACATCGAAAAACTTGACTACATAACCTCACTGCTACTAGTCAGTCAGTAAAAGACAATGCAGTGTTTCACTTTATTAGGTACACCTGTTCAATTGCTTGTTATCACAAATTGCTAATCAGCCAATCACATGGCAGCAACTCAGTGCTTTTAGGCATGTAGACGTGGTCAAGACAACTTGCTGAAGTTCAAACCGAGCATCAGAATGGGGAAGATAGGGGATTTAAGTGACTTTGAGCATGGCATGGTTGGTGCCAGATGGGCTGCTCTGAGTATTTCAGAAACTGCTGATCTGATTTTCACACAGAAAATCCTCTAATTTATTTAATTATCCTCTTACAGTTATCTGTTTGGCGACACCTGAAGTTGCTCAATGTCTTCCCTGATCCATTCCTCACATATGTTACAGTCATTTCATTACTTTCACATCATGGTTGTCCATACTGTAATTTTATTATGTTGGTCTATTCAGTACACATTCCCTTGGAAAGGGAAGCTCTTTTGTTGCTCTTCCCTGGTGTTTCCTTAGAAATTCCTTACACATTCTAGTCTATTTTGCTCCCGGCAAGTGGCAGCTGATGGAGACAGATGTAAAAAGAACATAAGCCCTGAGCTGGGACTGTAGACTGGTCATGGGACAGTTAGCCAAGCAATCTCATCAATGACCATCCAGATAGTGATCA